GAAAGAGGGAAAGGGTTGGAAATCCTACTTTTTGTGACTGTCTGCTCTCTGTGACCCCAGCACTCAGAAACAATAGTGAGAGGGTGCTCTATATTTCCCCCCCTATTCTCCCATGTCTTGACATGCTAGAAAGATCTGGAGTGAAACAAGTTTGAACATTAATTTCCACAGTTAACAGTCTATTGCTGTAGAAATATCCTGGGGCAAAAGATTTTAGATTGTGTGTGTGTGTGTGTGTTTACCTGTGACCTTTTATCTTTCCTCCATGAATCAGATTATTCATTGCTTGTGATTAGGTACTGTCCACAGCCATAGATCTTAACTCTGACTAAATTCAAGGCGAGGTTTTATAGAAGTCTGTCTGGAAAAGGGTGAATTTGGTTAAAACCTTGATGTTCTTTTTACTCGGAGAGCTAAAGGAGCTCTTCCCTTGAATTCAGGTTGTAGTTGTGAGGGATAATTGGGAAATGGATGCCCAAGGGTGTGGTCCAGTGCTTAGGACAGAAGGCTGTGATTTGGGAATGCTGTCCAGCTCTTGCTCTGCATGAGGCTGGGAAAGTTAAGCAGCCAGTGAAACAGAGGGGCTCCTAAAGCAACCGGATGCACTCTTTCTTTGTCACAGGGAATTTGTGTCATAACGTTAATCTGGCCTCAAAATTTAGGTCAGGAAGCAGATATTACACACGCGAGGTGTGCATCCAGGTAGCTGGGAGCCATCTGTTAACTTCAGGTCACACCTTCTCTTGCCTTAGAGCAGTGCAGTGGGAATGCACCAGCTCACTGGCTCCGACTTCTCACTTGCTGAGACCCAGCTCCTCGTCTGGGTGGTTTGGGCTAGGCACAGTCCCAATTTCTTGCAGTTTTCCTGTTTCTCACCTGCGTTCCTTCATTTTACTTTCCCACTGTGAGTGTCATGAGTTGAGAAGGAACAGATGTTGCCAGGCATGCCTGTGTGCTGAGTCACGGCGCAAGTTTACAGCTCTCTGGGCGAGAGGGGAGATCTGCTGGGCTTCATGAGCATTCGAGCCAAATGGTGGCCCTTGATGGTATCTGAGACAATGTGCTTCTTTATTTAAAGCACAGCAAGAAACTTCTTGAATATGGCCATTGATTAGGGTAGGTTAGATTCCAGTCTCAAGAAAAGCAGTAGTTTGGGAATTCATGGAAAAACTGTTTCCCAACATAGTGTCTACTCCAGCCTTTCCACGGTAGCCTGTAGAGGTGACTTTCCTGCCTGTCTCTCCACATCACGCAGGCATTTGGGGAGCCTGCTCTTCTGTCTGTGCTCTCTGACAAGCTCTGCTCCAGTGGCTGCCTGTTGACTCCTCATTTCATGCTTCCTCCCTTCTTTCTCGCCATTTGTCAGACAATGTTTAACTTCAAGAAACAATCTGAGGAGGGAAGTTGTATAAACTCAAGGTCTGGCCTTGTTACTTGCAGAGAACTTTGTGTGAAACTCTAAACACTGTGGAAATACGTGGAGGAGGAGAGTCTGTGCACTCAGAGCTCCCTGGGAGAGTAAGAATGGTCATGAATTCTTACTATGCAGGATCTCATTCAGGAAAGCAGTAAAATGTGGATTTCTAAGGTTAAGTAGATATTTATTTACTTGACGGCATCAGGGCCCAAATGCAGACAAAGACCAGGGTTTGAACTGGAACATAATGCCAAGAGAGTCCTGGTTCTTGGCTGTGAAGGTGCTTTGTCTTAAGAAAAGCCTAACCCAGGATTATTTTCTTGCAGATGAGCGAGGGCAGGACCACCTTAGGGCCGCAAAACTCAATTTAGTGGATCTGGCAGGAAGCGAGAGACAGTCCAAAACTGGAGCCACAGGGGAGCGGCTTAAAGAGGCCACCAAAATCAACCTCTCCCTCTCAGCCCTGGGCAACGTCGTCTCGGCCCTCGTCGATGGCAGGTGTAAACACATCCCCTACCGAGACTCAAAGCTGACCAGGCTGCTGCAAGACTCCCTTGGAGGGAATACCAAGACGCTGATGGTAGCGTGCTTATCTCCGGCTGATAACAACTATGACGAAAGCCTCAGTACTTTGCGCTATGCTAATCGAGCGAAAAACATCAAGAACAAGCCCTGTATCAATGAGGACCCCAAGGATGCTCTGCTGAGGGAATACCAGGAGGAGATTAAGAAGCTGAAGGCCATTCTAGCTGCACAAATGAGCACAAATAACTTGTCAGGTAGGAAAGCCCTTAGTGACTGAAGAGACATTTTTATCTTTGACAGAAAAATGTGGGTTTTATACATAAAATTTTCGCTGGATTTCACCTCAGCCTGTCCCTTACCTGTTGGAGGAAGAATTCTCCATTTTGGTAATGAGCTTTTTCCTTCACCGTTGCCAAAACTAACCTTATTTCACTGGTAAAAGCCATCTCAGTTATCCAGTATTTTCAATAATGACAAATTCTGTTCAAAAATGCTGATGTGATACAAATCCTTGGTGGTTCTTTGTAATTCTGCCCAGAATTTGGTCAGTCACAAAAGAGAGGTTTCAGCTGGCAGAGCAAAAATGAGCTGCTAAAGAAATAATAACGTAAAATTCTTTATTAAATATATGTTTTCAAAGTTAGGATTCAGCCCTGTTCTTCTACACTGTGAATTTTTGAAACTACAAGAAAAATATTGCCCTGCTGATGGCATTGCTTATGGAGGGCAGCACTGTCTTCACTTTGAGGATCCAGCCCAGCCCCAGCGGACTCACTTTGGTATGAAGTAGGAACAGCAACTGTGGAACCGATGGCTAAGAGCAGTCTTTAGGGAGCTGATCACCTTTTGAGAATTATCCCCTAAAAGTGGGAAACTTTCAGCAGAGGAATAAGGCTGTAAGATTATCCCCCCCCCCACCTCTTTCTGCCACCTTTCAGGAAGAGCTGTGAAGAAAGAAGGCAATTTCCTTGCACCTTTCATCTCCTTCCCGGTGTCTTTTATCTTCCAAATCTGTTAGCCTAGCCCTGGAAGCAAATCTCCTGTTATTCTGTGAAAGACATGAGATTTATATTCGCTTTCATATACCTAAAGCTTAAACCTCTCCTCCTCTGCTCAGCGCTGCCTCCTCCTCTCCCCACACTGATGGAGTCCCAGGCCAGTGGGCGTTTTGGCAGCGCAGGCGCTGGCACACGAATGCAGTTTTAAGGAGTGCATGGATTACACGGTTCTTTGCCGACAGCCAGGTTCTTTGTTCTGTTTCCAGGTATTCTACAGACAATCCCACCCAGTAATTGCGAGTGATTTTTATTTCTGCTTTGCTTTGCAGGATTTTTGCCTGCTGAGACTGCTCACCTGACAGCAAAGCCACCTCCTCTCCTCAAACCTCAGTTAGATCTTGAAGCGGAGAAGCAGCTGATCAGAGAAGTGAGTCAGGAGGGGGTATCCTATCATGTCTTTGAGTAAGGCTCATGGGTTTTGATAATAATCATTACAAATATGGTGTAGAGCTGTGTGGTTCAGCCTTTTCAGAACACTTCTCTTCCTATTTTTTGGTCCTTGGTCTTCTATGGACAGAACGTGTGTTGATGGAGGCCTTATTTACAGTGCCGCTTTCTCTCAGTGGTGTTCTCACCTCTCTGGAGATGAATTGGAATGGATTCCCAAGAAGAATTTTTGGAGTAACTACATGTGGAACTTGGATTCCTCCTGACAGAGCAGGGAGAAATAGCAGGGAGGAAAACAGTAATCAAATATGTTAGGAGCAGTACAAGGATAAAGATAAAGAGGGGATATGGAGTCAGGAAAGAAGAATGAGGAGTTGGGGGCCAGAAGGAAATAAAACTCTCTCCTTACTCTTTACAAAGCTCTTTCCAGGGCACCACATCTGCCCAAGATAGGGCTAACTAGTCAACTTCCATCAATACCACATCTACTTAAATCACAGAAAATGGCAGTGAATACAGGATGGTAAATATTTATTGGGGTGGACATAAGAAGTGACCTAGAAAGGACTTCTAAGTGATGCTGTGTGCAGTCAGAAGCAGGGCTGTCACGTCAGGCTGTCTGCTCTGCCTTACAGGAGTACGAAGAGATGCTGGCCCAACTAAAGGCCAGCTACGAAGCGGAGCAGGCATCTCGTGTCCGCCTCGAAGAGGACATCAGTAGCCTGAGGAATCACTACGATCTCAAGCTGTCTGCTCTGGAGGACAACCTAAGGAAGGAAGCAGGTGTGGACCAGACAGGTAGTGGGTGCGCAGCACAGGCTGAGGTGTCCCTGGTGCTTTAGGCTCGAGCAGACACAGGCTGTTTTTGCAAAGTCACATTTGTGGCAGCCACTGCAACCTTTAAAGTGGCAGCAACTGCTACTACAGCAAGTGCTGCCCAGCAGCAACAGCAGCCTCTGTTCTCAGGCCTCCCTGGAGCACTAACTCTGGCTCTCCTGAGCTGTTGCTGAGACACTGTGCCAGCTTTGTTCTCTTCCCTATTTCCCTGATTTCTTTTCCCTGTCAGGACCAGCCTGGCCCTACCCTGTAAGCCTCGAGGGGATGAAATGCAATTTTGTGAGTTTCTTCAAAGGTCGTGCAGTGTTTCTCTCAAGCAGAGGTCTGAGCTGCAGAGATGGCTGGTCCCAGCAGGCGCTGCTCTGTCTGGATCTGATTGGCTTCGCACAGCTCACACGCCTGAGACAAGGGTGGCTGCAGCAGCCTCCTCCATCGCATGGAAATGGGATGCAGCCCTTGGTCTCCCGGTGAATTATCAACATCATTGCTTTGCTGGAGGGAGGAGATTCCTCTCACATACTATAAATCGTTGCCAGTTATCCTCTTCGCTACTGCTTGTCATTTATACTTCTGCAGTGCCTCAGAGCATGTTTCGCAATGTGCCTGTACAGCACTTAAAACTCAATACTAATTCTTGAACCTATATTCTTAATTTTTGATGCTATCACTTTCTAAGGTGAGAGGTTCCTTTCCCCCCTCCCTTCTGATTACAAATGTGCACACCCCAGCCTCGAAATAGATTATTTCTGTGTGAACACAAGGACCCAGGCTTTCCCAACCCCTACCCGATACGCCCTCTGAGATGGCTTTTCCTGACCAGTATAAATACGAGACCTTTTCCTTCCAGACACACAGTTTTTAGCTTTTGCTGAAGTTTTATGCTCTAGTTTTGCAGAGCTCTTTACTGACATTGTGGGTTTTTCCTCTTTTACTCTTCAGCTGCCATGAGGACTGAAACTGCTCCTGATGAGACACCTCTGCAGGAAAACTCTGTTGCTGCAGCAGATGAAGAACCAACGTCAGCTCAGGTACCCTTCAGGCTCCTGTACCCCCCAGGACTGAAAAATCTGAGTGGGTAACATTTTACTTCATCTGTCCTGGTATTCACATTGCATCTTTTCAGAGCCTTTGGTTTTCTTTTGCCCTCAGGACCTGGCAGTGCCTCGGATTGTTGGAGATGCTGGTGATGTGAGCAAGGGGAGTGCAGGAGCAGAGATGGCTGTCACAGCTGGGGGGATTTTCTTGCCTGCAGACCAGCAGCAGGTGCTCGCCAGGTCAGTGACTGCACTGCTCCTGCTGTCCGCCTCCTGGTCATCGGTTGCAACACACACAGGCAAGACACAACCCTGTTCTTCCATGATACTACAACTGTTGAGCTTCCCCTGCGTGCTCAGCACAGCACAAGACTAGGCAGACATGTATTCTTTAACCCCAAAATTAACTTTATCCTCTTTGGGCAGATAAATAGCCATTAGCTGTGGTGTTCAATGATGCCAAGTCTCAGAATTATGAGACAAAAATGTGGAGAGGTCTGTGTCAGCAGATGTGGATGAAAAAAGCCTGCTTTCCTGATAACAAATCCTGCCTAGAGCTGTAGGCAGGGAAATCTTTTCCTTCTCTGCCTTTTTGCAGGAGTAATTTATGAGGGGTTTATAAAGTCGAGTCTGGCGGTTGCTGACAGAGCTTAAGCGCCCAACCATGTTATGGAGGCAGCATCCTTTTTTCCTCTTAAAAATGGTTTTTAGAGGGTACTTAGAGCCTACAAGTAAGGTAGCAGGCCTTTCTGCTACTCACTGTGTGCATGGATGGAGAAGAGTCTGTCCTCCACACCTCCCCTTGTCACTGAGGTCACTTTTGCCTCTCATTCACACACCTGACAATGTTTGTAAGGTGTCGGCCAAAACTGACATCAGAATTTGTGAGTAATCACATTTTAGAGGCAGCGTTAGGCAGCACAGGTCTGGGATTTGAGGGGTGCAGGGTCAAGACTCGCGCTCGGCCCATTTTGGGTTTCCTCCAGGCAAGAGCCATCGTGAGAGAATTCCTTTAGATACAGCACTGAAATCATACAGGGGTTTAGTGCCATTTCAGAAACACACCAAGCAAATTCTGCTGATTTTCTGTCTTTTACTCTCTTGCATAGGATTATAATAAAATTAGAAATGATACACTGTGGATGATGGAGTTTGATTCTGAAAAGTTTTGTGGTATTTAAGCTGTCTTTCAGCTTTCCTGTGAGCTCTTGTGGCGCATGCTTGCTCTGTTGGGGCTCTCCCAGCTAAAAAAGGAGCCATTAAGAAATCTAGAATAGCAATTTGTGCAGTTCTCTCTATTAATGGTGAGGTCTCCAAAGAAACCACTCGTTTTGACTATATATCAAAACTTAATAGTCCCATGGCAGCGTTCCCTTTTTGTAACAAACAAGTGAAAAATGCTCTTCCAGTTACACTGTTAAAATCCAGGCTCCCTGCAGATTAGGCAGGAGGGTTTGGGATTTTCAAAGCCACCCGATAAAAGCTTTATGCATCACGATGGCCATGAGATCTCTGATGCTCACTCAGCAGAGCACAGATTCAAGTGCACATTAAGCAAACGAAACCAAAGGCTACTTGGCAAGTGCAGCCCAGTTGAAAAGCGGGTTGTTTTGGATGGTTTGAAGATAATTAAGAGGCTACTATCAAGCAGAGGTTTTATCAGAAGTGGGATTTTCTCTAATTTGAGCCAGCACTGGCCGAACCGAGCTTCTGCTCTGCTGCAGATCCCTGCGCAGACAAACAGAGCAGCTCTGGAGGACGGCGTTATTTCCATGGGGTTGCCTAAGTCACCAGCCCTGGCTGATATTTGAGGCTGACATTGCCTCAAAAAGGAAACTGTATCCAGTTCATATCCACCGTATCCCAAACTGTGTCCAGCCGTATCCACCATTTACAATATTTGTTCATGTAATTTTGGCACAATTTGTGCTCGTGTTGAGAGTCTTTCAAAACAAGAAATAAGACTTGAAGTATAAATTCCACAAAACAAGGTTTTTCAAAATAATTCTGTAAGCGTAGCTGCAGATTTCTGGATACAGGCACTGACAAAAGTGCTCATAGTAACATATGCTTTGCCTTGTGTCCACAGGACTGTTCAGAGCACTGGAACAGGCTGCCCAGAGAGGTTGTGGAGTCTCCTTCTCTGGAGACATTCAAAACCCGCCTGGACGCCTTCCTGTGCAACCTCATCTAGGTGTTCCTGCTCCAGCAGGGGGGTTGGACTGGATGATCTTTTGAGGTCCCTTCCAATCCCTAACGTTCTGTGATTCTGTGACTATCTGTGACCAAAAGTATAAATAATAAATAATTACTCAGGGCAGCAAATCTCATCAGAAATCACTATTTCCTGTCCTGTGTCTTCTCAAACATCATTCAGGTAAGGATGTGGCTCCTCCACACTTACACAGATGGGTTTTTTATGAAGCGTTTGCCTTTTGCAGGCTGCAGATCCTAGAGCAACAAGTGGTAGGGGGGGAACAGGCTAAAAACAAGGACCTCAGAGAAAAGCATAGACGCCGGAAAAAATATGCGGACGAGCGGAGGACGCAGCTGGTGGCCGCACTGCAGCAAGGGAACGAGGGATTTTTTTCTGCTGAACGTCTACGACTCCATCCAGGAGGAGGTTCGAGCCAAGAGCAAGCTTCTGGAGAAGATGCAGAAGAAGGTGAGAAGGGACCAACTCTTTCCTCCTTTGTGTACTCCCTTTTTTACATTTTATTTTTTTTAGGTTATGTTTTATAAGGTTGTTTGAGTGTATTTTTGTGAAGTATCAGCCCGCTGGGTGGTGGATGAAGTTGCTGACACCCAAAACCCCGCCTGTTTTAGTGGTCGGTCTCCATCTCCTTGGGCAGCACATTGTGACTGGTGATGGGAGAGGATGCGACTCCCTCTACTGCCCTACACCATCTAGTGCACAGCTTCCTCCGGGTCTGATTGTCAGATACCACAATTTCCTGGAAGAAATTAAACCGTGAAAAGGGTTTATTTATTTATTTATTTTGGGGGTTGGGAGGGGAGAAGCAATGCTGTTAAATTTTAGGCACACTTGAAAAATCAGTTTTGCTCTGATGAGGCAGAATCAGGGGAGCTTAATAAAAAATCTGCGTGTGTGCAGTCCTGAATCTGCACATTAGGAACTTTATTTCTGTATTTGGGTTATATTGCACCTTTTTAATCTAAATTAGGAACCCCCAAGAGTTTGTTCACGCTGGACGCACACCGGAGTAGTAAGATTGACTTAAGGGCCGTTCAAAGACTTGGGAGAAACACAAGAAATCTTCCATTAGAAGATGTGGATCTCTCCGCACAAATCTCATCCCAATTCTTAATTATGAATTAGAAATCTGCTCAAACGCTGAAGCTTGTCTTTCCTGACAAACTCCTGAACTTGTAGTAACCATCGCTCTCTCTCCTTTATAGTCCCAACGACGTATTTTGGTTTTATGTCCCAGCTGCAGGCTGCCGAGACCGAAATCAAAGATCTGCAGTCGGAGTTTGAGCTGGAAAAGATCGATTACCTCGGCACCATCCGCCGCCTGGAGCGCGACCTGCTGCTCTGCCAGCAGCTGCTGGATCAGGTGCAGTCCCTCATCCGCCGCGACTGTAACTACAGCAATCTGGAGAAGATCAAGCGCGAATCCGTCTGGGATGAGGAAACCGGCTGCTGGAAAATTCCAGAACCCGTCATTCAAAAAACCCGCCTGCCCACAGGTGAGAGGAGCGGTGCCGCTGGCACCTGCCTGCTTCAGGGCTCAGCAGTGGGGACTGTGCTCGCTTTTAAAATCATCCTATACAGAAAGTCTGAATGATGACATTGAGAGACAACGACTCTTTAACACTGTCCCTTCCCACAGCAGTTCCAGCCCCGCCGCAGCCCAAACCTGCCCACAAGAGCCCTGCAGCTGATAGCGGAGCGCTAACGGTACCGTGCATGTCTTCTCCCTTTTGTACACCATTTACTGATTTTTCCCCAATTTCTAACCCGTAACCCGAGGGCTGGTGCAGAGTCTGGCGCTGCTGACGCTGTTTTCCGCTCCCAGCCCGAGGAAGACCGTTACAGGTTGGTGCTGAACAGGAGTGACAGCGAAACCATCGCCAGCAACTACTTCCGATCCACGCGAGCCAGCCAGATCCTACACCCTGAACCGACCCAGAACCGAGGTAAAGCCTTTGTTTTATTACACATTTCCAGCACCCACCTTAATTTTCCTCAATTTTATTTGAGAGAGCTCTTTTTGGCTCTGCTCCCTCGACCTCAATCGTGGATTTTTCGCAGGATGAGGCCTGGTTTTGGCCTCCTGCGAGGACGGCTGCCCACCGCAACCCCCTCCTCTCTTGCAGCTCCCCTGGGGCCAGAGCGGGCTCTGGGCTGTGCGTCTGCCCGGCCCCGGCCCTTCCGCCTCCAGGCCCTTGCCTTGGCGCTGCCTACCACCGCCCCCACCAAGCGCAAAAAGGGCAAAGCCAGCTCCAACAGCCGCCCGCTCTGACTCTGCAAGAAGACGCCAAATCGCTGTGGTTTTGCCCCAGAATGCTCTCGCTCTACATCGGAGTGAGGACCAGGCGGGACGGAGGGGTGAGCTCGCTGTCGCCGTGCTCTTTCGCGCCCTGTACCCCCTCCCCGCTGCAATAAACCCGTCTAACACCACCATTTTGAGGTCTTTTACTGGAAACCGTCCTTCTCACGCTGGGGGTCAGGGCCGCAGCGGTCCAGTCCACGCCGCCACCTTCCCCCCTCCTTCCCCAGCGGCGCTACGGTGGCTGCGTGGGGGTCACCACGGCGTCCCGCTGATTGG